TGGCCAGCTCAGCCCGCCTGGGGGCAGGACTGGCTGGCATGTGGTGCTGGGGGATTGAACCACGGTGCATGTGCTTTGTTAAGCTTGTTCTAAGTAGGTGCTTTAGACCACTGAGCCATCTCACTAGCCCCACCCTGTTTATTCTTAATTCCATGGCTTTGAGTCTTTTCTTTTCTTTTTTTTTTTTGATAAGGTTACAGAAGGGTTTGTCAATTTTATTTAATATTTTAAAGAACCAACTCTTTGATTCATCAATTCTTTGTGTTGGTTCCTAGTCTCCATTGCTTTAATTTCTGCTTTCATCTTTGTAATTTCCTCTGAGGTAGAGCCTCGTTCATTCATTCATGTCAGAGATAACTTCCATATCTCTGAGAGTCTTTTTCTGCTGCTCCCCACTCAGCCATCTTCCAGAATTTTCTATTTTGTAACAGTCTTGCTGTCTCTAAATCACCAAGTCTGGGACTTAACTTGAGATCTTTTTGCCCCAGGCTCCCAGAATGTTGAGATTATAGACATGTGCCACCACAGCCAGTGAACATTGAGATTTATACACTCCCAGGGCATGTGGCAGGGGTTTAGTAGTTATCTATGGAAAGCATGAATGAAAGAGGTTTTACTGGGCAGTGACTGAACTTGCGTGGACCGAACTAGCTAAGTCAGAGCAACCTGGAGCTTGAGAGGAAGAATGGTTTTAGTTAGAAGATGACACTCCATCTTTGTACCCATGTTTCTTGCAGACACTTGAGTAGTGACAAATGCTGCCAGTCACATCTGTACACTTGCCTTCCAGAAGTCTTAATATTTGTCACCCTCTCCCAACAGATAGCAGTGTGGGGGTGTGACCCTGTGGGAGGAAGCAGGAGCCACGACAGCTGCTGAACTATGAGAGAGGGGCAGGGGCACTCAGAAGGACCACCAGAGGAGAGTTTCATATTTGTAAACCTCCTGCTCTGGACCCAAACAAAAAGCACCAGAGCCCTGCTCCTCAGGCTGAGCTTGAGCACCCGGAGATGCTTACATTCTCAGATGGCCTACCTCCACCCCTGTCAGCCACCCCCCATGTTCCTGGGATGACTGATTCAGAGACCCCAGGCATCTTCCCCAGGTATTGGCCCTGGGTCCTTGTCAAGTCCCTTGACTCGGAGCTAGAGGCAGGGACCCTGGACTAGGGATGCCTCCCCTCACTGCTCACTGCACAGGTCCTTTGGGATCTGGCTGTGCTGTCCAGGGAACTTGAGATACATTGACTCCTATCCAGTTTGCTCTCCTGCCTGCTTACCCTGGGTTCATCCTAATTCTCAGTGAGGATTGTCCCTGTGCCACCTGCTTAGGAAGGGAAACACCAGGGCCTTGGCATAGGTCCACCAAATTTCACCAAGTATGGCTTCATGTACTTCCAGGTTGCTGTACTACATTTCTGTCATGGGAGAGTTGTGGCTCTCCAAAGGTACATCTGTATCCCAGTTTTGGGAAAGTATTATGTTATATGGGCTTCTTGTTCCCACAAATCTGGACTCTGCAAGGTTATAAGCACTACTCCTCCAAAGAAGCAGATGATGTATTCCAGGCACTTTGAATGTCCTGTGCAACATATGAATAGGCAGGAAGAGGCTGCCGTCCTAGCTGGCTACTTGGGGATACTATGGCCTCATGTCTCTTGATCTCTGTGTCAGTTGTAAGGGACAAAGATAGTCATCTGGCCTGGGATATCCCCATGACCAGAGCAGACCATGACACCACATCTCCCAGAGCCCCAGGTAGTAGTGGGGGAGCCGAGACTGGACAGTGGAGGCACCTGGCTGGGTTCCTCTGGTTCTCTGTGGTGGCCACGCACAGGGTTGTAGATTTAGTTGCTTGTGTCTCCCCAGGGAGAGGGCCTACCTGCAGCCTCTGTCTCTAGAGAAACAAAGAATACAAAAAAGGGCAGGAAGACCTGTTCCGTTTTTCTGTTTCCTCAGATTGGACACTCCCCATCGACTGATGCCTTCCTTTGTGCTGATCTCTACTTTGCCCAGTTCATTCTGCTGCTAAGTCCATCTCATGACTTCAGAACTTCACCTTTTATACTTTCAACTTTTTTGTTTTTGGTTCTCGGGGTTGAAGCCAGGGACTTTGCATTGAGCTATATCTCTAGCCCTTTTTATTTTGAGGGTGGGCCTTGCTGAGTCATTAAGTGGCTCAAGCTGGGCTTGAATTTGCAATCCCTTTGCCTCAGCCTCTCAGAGTGCTTGAATTAAAGGGATGGGCACCACTCCCATCTTTCATATTTTTAAAGCCATTGTTTTAAATTATATATTGATATTGGTTGATTTTTTTATTAATGGCTAGCTTAAATGACTCAAGTATAATTTCATGAAAATGACCTGGGTTTAGGGGCACACATCTGTAATCTCAGCATGTAGGAGACTGATGCAGGAGGATCTCTGAGTTTGAGGCCAGCCTGGGCTATATTGTGAATTCAGGGTAAGCCTGAACTACATAGTGAGATCCTTTCTCAAAAACAAAACAATTCATGAAACTGAGCTATTAGTTTTTGTGAACTCAGCCCACTCTTTAGGTAGATGTGGGGGCTTGTGATTGTTGGCTCCTCATTGGGGGCCAGCACTCACTACTCTCTTGACATTTTATATTGTGGGGAACCACTCAGACTTCTTTAAAACTCAGGGGCATCGTCTAAGAACGCCTAAGGGTGTGACCCAGCTTGCCTAGCACAGGTGCACAGTGGGATGCAGTTATGTAACCATGACTTAGCACAGGTAAACACACATGCACTGGTTACAGCACTGTATAAGAATATAAACACAAGATAACAGCCTGTCCATGAATTCTACTATAAAGGTGCAGGTGATTCTTGCACTCTTGCTCTGGCTCTGCTCTGCTGCCTGCTGCCTGCTATTGTTGATGTCTTGAACACATGTGTTCTTTAACCTTTGGACCTAACCTGTGAAAATCCCTCTTGGGCTTCCTGAGAGGGCTGACATACATGTGCCTGAGAGTCAGAGAAAGACCAGCCTAAACCCCATGGCAGGCTGAGGTGAGTGCAGGGTGATCACTGACTCCTCTGCCCTCTGTCCTACCTCTTCTAGGTGTATCTTTTTCTCATTTGCAAATCCAAACAACAGGTTTGTCCCTGGGCTTTTAATTGGGACACTCAGACCAAGTGTTCTGAGCATCACTGGCCAGGGGCTCTAGAAGGAGGAAGATTCCAGGTAGGAAATAAATTCACCTGGAAGCTGAGCTGGGATTAATGGCACACACCTGTAATCTCAGCACTTGGGGGGCTGAGGCAGAGGATCATGAATTTCAAGATAGCCTGAAATTCTTTCTATGTAGCAAGATCCCATCTTTAGAAAAAAATCACCTGGGTTGTGGTTATTGAACAGAAGTCCATGTTTTGCTGACCACTCATGCTTGGTGAACAGGGAGGACATCACTGTGGTTATGAGACCCAGAGGGTCTAGGCCAACCTGCTGACTGAGCTGGTTGTGTTGGGCGTTAGAGAGAGGGGTGGTCCTTGCTTTCTAGAGTCTGATCTCTAACTGACCCCTCATTCTTCCTCTTAACCTGGCCCTATTTCAGGCTGCCTGGGCCCCATAGTACCTCCCTAGGGACTGGAGGCTCTTCATCCTACTGTATTGCAGTATACATTGGCGGGGGGGACCGGGCACTGGGGCTCAGGTTGAGTAGTGACCTGGTGGCCGGCTCTCTAATTGCCTTGCAAAGCTGGGAGCAGGGGCAGCAAGGAGGGCACCCAGTTCCTCCCTTGTGGTAAGCACATGCTCTACTTAGAAACATGAACTTTTTTTGTTGTTGTGATTGTTGTTATGTATTTAACAGGGTCTACACAAATCAGACTCGTAGTGATCCTCCTGTTTTCAGCCTCCCAAATGCTAGGATTACAGACACACACCACCATGCCCAGTCTCATTCGCCATCTCAGCGTACCCTGGTGGCAGGGCCAGCACTTCATGCTAGGGATCGAACCCCAGTCCATGCACTTGCTTAAGCAGGCACTGTAATCTGCTGAACTATCTGACCTGCCCCCCTTTTTTTGAGACAAGGTCTTACTATGTAGTGCAGGCCAGCCTTGAACCACTTATGTAGCCCAAGCCAGCCTAAAATTCATTGCAATCCTCCTGCTTCAGCCTCCTGAATGCTGGGATTATAGGTATGTCACACACACACACACACACACACACACACACACACACACACACACCTTCAGCAGAAACATGAACTTGGACTTGGAACCCTCTTTGCTGAGAGCTCCAAGTTCAGACCAAGTAATTTTTATTGCCTGTACCCCAGTGCTCCAGGGAAATGTCCCAGACAGGGGACATGGTGTCTTCTGCTGCCCACCTCTCCCTGAGTCTGTCTCCCACTGTCCCCTTGTTGCTGACAGCCTAGGAATAAGCTCCTGGGCCTTATTCCTAGGGTTATCCCTTCACAGGTTGAGGACACACTGGTTATTTTGTAAATAGCGGAGGGGTTGGGTCAAAGAGGAAAACCATGCTCTGAATCAAATCCATCAGTTCCAAGGACAGTGGATGAGGATGAGATGAGACCTGGCTGAGGATCAGGAAGAGACTGTCTTTAACCATATTCTCCCAGCTGCTCCTTCTGGGCCTCTCACTCTGTCATAGTTCTTAAAATTCCTCTTCACCCTCAGTCCCTTGTGCTGATGTACAGGTTGCAGGCTCATTTACTAGGTTTCTCAGCCTCAGACCTGGTACCACCAGGAACTTGATACCGTGGGTCTCTCTGCTAATATTCACCCAACTGGTCTTCATCCAGAAGCTCTCATTTCTGCAGAAGTCCCCAGGAAGTGGGTTGCTCACTACCCACCCACTTCCTCTATCTGAGAGATAAGAGGGCTCACAGAGTGGCCAGGAGGAAAGGTCTGAAGGACTAAAGGTGTGTGTCCTGCCCCACTCAGGGCCTCTGCTAGACCCCAGAGCCCAGTTTCTGGACTCTCACCAAGGCCCTGTCCTTCCCCACAGATGCTGTGGCTGTTGCTCTTGACCCTTCCCCATCTCGGGGACTCCATCCCCACAACTCCTGGTAAGTCCTGACCCCACCCTCCCTGAGTGTTCACAGGGCCACTCCTGGGGCTGTCTGCTTCCACTTGCCTACTCTGAGTCCTGAGCACCTCCATCCATCCCCTGACGACAACCCCACCTATTTCCTCAGACCCTCGCCCACAACAGGAGCTAGCAGGCATCATTGGGGGCTGCCCTGTCTCGGCCATGAGGTTCCCATGGCAGGTCAGCCTGCAGTTCTACAGCCAGTCCAACCACCGGTGGGAACATATCTGTGGGGGCTCACTCATCCACCCACAGTGGGTGCTGACTGCTGCCCACTGTCTCAATCCGTGAGTGTGGCCATCTGTATCCTGGCCTAGGTGCAGGGTGACCAGGAGGGAGGCAGAATTGGTGAGCCCTTCTCAGGCTGCAGGGGAAGTCTTGGCCCAAGTGTCTGGCCCAGTCCCTGCAACTGCACCAAGCTCAGCCCCCCTGGCCTGCAGGTTTCCCTGAGGGCCTCATGGTGTTCCCTCCCCAGGGAGGAGCTGGAGGCCTGTACCTTCAGGGTCCAGGTTGGGCAGCTAAGGCTGTATGAGGATGACCATCTGGTGAAGGTGATTGAGATCATCCGCCACCCCAAGTACAACGAGAGTTTGTCCTTCTGGGGAAGTGGGGATGTTGCCCTGCTGAGACTGGAGGCCCCAGTGTCACTGTCAGAGCACGTCCATCCTGTCTCCCTCCCTGAGGTCTCCCTGAAGATCTCCAGGAGGAAAACCTGTTGGGTGACAGGCTGGGGTGACATCGGAGTTGCAGGTAAGGACTGAGGACACTTTGATGGGGAGGTGTCCAGGGGTTGGGTATAACTGTGGTGGAAATACTTCATTAGAGTTTTGGGGAGCCACTATTGCTGTCCTGTGCCTACCAATATAGACAGACATATGCAGGCCAGCTTAGAATAACATTATTTCTCCTGGGGCTACAACATCATGTCCAGGAGTTGGCAGAGTTGACTCCTTTGATGCCCTGAAGGACTATTCTTCTCCATCTCCTGGTGTTGGTGGCCATCCAGGGGTTCCCAGTCATAGGACAGTCTCTTCATGCCCTGCCACACGTGGCCTGTGTGGCTGTGTCTTAATCTCCTCTGCCAGTCTTCCCTAAGGATGCTAGTCACTAGATTTAGGACCCATCCTAACCCAGTATTACTTACCTTGGTGACATCTGTAAGGACTCTGTTCCCAAACAGTCATGACCTCGGCACAAGGACTGTGTCATCCTTTGGGGGTGGGATACCATTCACCCACAACCTGATGAACTTTTCACTGAATCCTAATTGTTTTCTTCAGATGAAAGCTGTCCTTTCCTTTGTAGAAAAGAAACCCCAGACTAAGAATGGACAGCTGGCCCAGGCCCCCTGTTGATCAGTTCCTCAAGCAGGATGTGTAGGCAAATTTGTTTCTTCACCCCAACTCTCTCATGGTACAATCTTGAGAGTTCTGGATGTCCTATTCTTCCAGTAGCAGGTCCTGCAGTCCCAGGCCCCTGTACACTAGGAATATAGCCTCACAATGCCTCTGGGTCCTTTTCCTGTTCCAAACCAAAGGCCAGGGAGATCCAGTATGAGAAAGAAGCAGGAATCCTGGACTCCCAGCCCCAGCCTTACTCTGCTTGTTCCTGCAGAGCCCCTTCCCAAGCCCTTCCACTTGCAGGAGGTGGAGGTGAAGTTCTGGAGTAGTAGGAATTGTGAGCGGGCCTATCGCCATACCTTCCCTGAACACACTGGCCAGCTCATCAAGGATGACATGCTGTGTGCTGGGAACCAGAACCATGGCCCGTGCTTGGTAAGACTCCAGACCTACATGCCTTTCTCTGTTCCTCCTGGTCCCAGGGCCAGTGAGTGTAGGGAGGGCCAACTGTGTCCTGCATCATCTTCCACAGGGCGACTCTGGAGGCCCCCTTGTCTGCATGTGGAACTGCACCTGGGTGCAGGTGGGTGTGGTAAGCTGGGGCGACATCTGTGGTCACTGTGCCCTCCCCGGCGTATACACTTCCGTGACGAGCTACGTGTCCTGGATCCTTCACCATGTTCCCCAGTTCCCTGGGTCCTATGTGGGGCAAAGGTGGGATCCTCCTAATGGAAGAGACCCCCAATCTTCCTTGACACCTCTTCAGGGCTTTCTCCATCCCAACCTCACTTTTGAAAGCCCTGAAATTGTCCCCACCCCCAGCCTGCAGCCCCCAGCCTGCAACTTCATCCCCTTCCTGCCCTCCAGGGAGAGGAAAGGGAGGTCCTGAAGACTCGTCACCCTGGAAGGGTGTGGGTACTGAATGGGTGTGGAGAGCCAGGGTCCACTGCCTTCTCTCTTCGAATCTCATTAAACCTTACAAAGCATTTTCTGTGTGGTCCAGTCTCTTTGTTCCTGCAGGATATCCCCATGGATCTCAGTTCTGGTCCTCAGTCATGGCAGAACTGGGCTGGGTATGGATGTGGGGTGCTCGGGGCCTCTGTGCAGGGTATTTCCTGCAGAGGGCTGCTGCAGGGAGCCCAGTTTGGCTCACCTTCCTCTATCCCATTATGAATAGTCTACCTTGGCCCAGATCTCATTGCACAGGCTGGTGGCTTCTAGGGCTGGTAGTTGGGAGCTGTGTTCATAAACATAAATGGTTGGGTGAAATGTGGCCTGTGTACAGACATCTGCACAGGCTAAGGGGCAGCCCAGGAATGGGGCTATATGTGTCCTGGGCTTGTCAGAGACTAACCTAGTTTGATCTTCCCTGGACTGTAATAGCAAGTCTAGCTCCTATGGGGCAGAATGATGGTGGGGTCACATGGATTCTTTGGCATAGTGACCAGTTCCAGGTGATAGGAGTCCTAACTCCATTTTCAGGCTCCCATCTTAGGCCCTGTCTGCAGTGGTTCTTGACCTTTGAGGAAATAGAACCTCTGGGGTGGGGATACTTGATTATGCCACCACTAATCTGGAACTTGGTCCAGGACTCCTATCGCTACAGCCTGTTACCCAGGCATAGTATTCACTGGGGAGCTCTTTGGACATTGGTCCTGGACTTGGCATCAGTGGCAAAGGCCTGTGCATACCAGGGTGGGTGGCAAGCATGCTCCTGGAGTGTCATAATCCCCTCACTCCCACAGGGCAGAGTAGTAAGGAGTACTGGTGAAGCCTCTTATGGGGAATAGTGACTCAGGTCTTTCAGAGACATGCTGCTTCCTATTAGAGAAGGACCGTGCCGGTCAGGCTACTGAACAGGCCAGGCATTGCCTATAAGCCATAGTTTACCTGTGGGCCATCCTAACCTAGTGTGTCCAGGGCCCCAGACTAGAGATGTCCAGCCATAGGGTCTTCCAGACCCTATAATGTGGGACAGGGTAATTCTTATGTCAGAGACAAGATCCTCCCTTCTTCCCTAGCGTTTGTGTCCTGTTGCACTGTGCCTTTTCCATTGGTCACCAAAGCACTTGACCCTAAACTCCCTCCAGGGTCTCCTGCTTGGAAGCCTGGGTCTAGGAATGACCCATGTGTCAGGAAGTGATGAGCCAGGCCAACCTGCTGGGCTGCAGGGGACAAAAGAGGCATCCAGGGGTGTTTGCCCCATCTCTGCTTTCCCAGGGCTGACCCAATCTCCCCATCTTAATAGGAAGGTCCTGAAGACTCACCCAGGAAGAAAAAGATCTGCTCACACTTTTGGTTCTGAGTGGAGCCCTGGGGTCCTTGTCCTGTACTATATCAGGTTGCATGTACTATACAGCTCCTCCCCTGGGGCTGTGGGTTCCTCACCCCACTGTGATGCTGTGTGGGATGGGCTAGGGGTGGGGGCCTGGGCCTCAGGTTGGGAAATGCCTTGGTTTTCTACTATCTAATTAATTGCTTGCAACACCATGCTCATCAGGGCCAGGGAGGGCATGGGGAGACTGATGGCTGATGAAGGTGGGTCCCCACAAGGCAACACAGCATGGGGTGTATGTGTAGGTCTTTGATCTTAAGACCTCAGGGTTTTCTTGTGGGAACCCATGAATACCCATATAATCATGCCACACTATATTTTTTACATCATATAAAAATTGGGTTGCAATCTGATGTAAGATTTAATTCCAGTGTTCTTAAATGGAATCCTCAGAAAGTAAAACATTTGAGAATATCCTTGGGGTCTGCAGGTTACCTGGATGTTCTGATGTGCCCAATATCCAGCCTACATGAACATCCTGAATGTGTTGCTTCCATCCTTGGGAGGCACGAGACTCTCCCAAGGTTGGTTCCTTCTACCCTTAATAGGCATTACAGGATAGCTTACACTTCCTGGGCAGAAGACAGATGTGCCCATTCACAGATGTGAGGCTCTTGTCCCTATAAAGTATGCTTTTCCATCCTATAGACAACTGGTGACCTTACAAAGGAGGAGCAACAGGAGACAAAAAGATGGAATCTCCATGTTCTGGGATTCAGGCATTGGGCAGGGCTGTTTTTAAAACAACCAGGTGTTTTTTGTTCATTTGTTTTTGAGACAGGGTCCCATTGTGTTATTGAGGGTGCCCTTGAACTCATCATGTATCCCAGGCTGGCTTTGAACTTGTGGCAATCATCCTGGCTCAATTCTCTCAAGTATTGAGATTGCAGGTGTGCACACCATGTCCAGCTGCTACTAGGTGTTTTAAAAACTGATTTCAATAAAAGTCTGTTGATTGATTGAAGGATAATAATCAGCATTGGCTCCAGCAAAAGAGCAGCTCCATGTCTGCCATCAGCTTTATCCCAGGAGAACTGCCAAGATTCCCATGGGAAATGTGAGGCTCTGAGGGAGGAGGAGATATGTTCAGCATCATGGGACTGTAGCACTAACAAAGCATCCAAGCAAATGATCCCAGGGAGGCTTAATCCAGTGTGGACACTGCTTGGAGTTCAATTAATCCAGCAAGTTGAGTGGGAGGAAGCACAGATCCAGGGCTTCATCAGACAGAGTTCTAGCTGTAGGCAGGAGGACTCTTGTTCTTCAGAAATGACCCTTTGTTGTTGGCCTTTCCTTGCTCTGTCCGCCTTTTAGAAAATCTCATCAAAGTCAGTAAGAAAAGTCCTTTTGGGATTTATATTCAAATCACATTTCTGTCTCAATATGCTTCTAATACAGTGTTCTTCTTAGGACCACGGTATGACCCTCCAGTTATTTAGTCTCTGAAAATTATATCCTAATAGTACTCTCATGTTTATGGAGCATCATTCACAACAGCTATGAGGTGGAAGAACCTATGTGTCCACTGACAGGCAAGTAGATCAGCAGAACATGGTATGTAACACTCCAGAATGTTATGCAGTCTTGGAAAGGAAACTTCCAGCTACAGAGATGCACACATGTGATCCCAGCTGCTTGGGAGGCTGAGGCAACAAGATCTCGAGTTTGAGGCCAGTCTAGATAATTTAGTGAGACAATTTCTAAACAAAACAAAACAAAATAGCTTTTTCGCAACGGGTTTGCCGCGAGAGCACAGGCGTAGTGAAGGCCACCACTAAATCGAAGCCAACATGGGAAAGGAAAAGACCCACATTAATATCGTCGTCATCGGACACGTGGACTCCGGCAAGTCCACCACTACCGGCCATCTGATCTACAAATGCGGTGGCATCAACAAAAGGACCATTGAAAAATTTGAGAAGGAGGCTGCTGAGATGGGGAAGGGTTCCTTCA